AGATGTCTACTTTGTAGCGCGTCAGTTCTCGATCGACCATTACCACACTCCACTCCGGTCGGTTGCTTCCTGGATTTTCTAAAAGGGAACGGACATTTTAGGCTGACAAATTGAGCCCACTCACCCTGGCGGCTTGTGGGATTGGGCAGAGGGAAGGGGGACGATGGTGGTTATTGTTCGTTGCAGTGTCTGACCGCGTATTTTGCACCTACGTGGCACGGTGCATTTGTTTAAAGCACTATTCCTAGTCCCTTCTCCACCAGTGGATAAGCAGTGCTATCCATAAATAAGACTGCTTAGACATCCCGGACAGCTTCCGAACTTCGCCATGGGTCACGAATTGGTTTAGCGGAGAGCAAACCGAATTAGCCTGGACCGCCAATGGGATTGCATGTCGGGTCCCCCCGTAGGACTTGTTGAATTGGGGTGTGGGAGAGGTCACTGGAAGGGCATCAGTGTTACCGGGGATACGCACGCAACGCCGGATACCCTGACCTGCTTCAGCCCGCCGGTCGAGGCCATTACCGGAGTGTGGCTGGTAGGCAGAGCCTATTGTCGGGGAGCCGGAGATGAGGGTTGAGTGGTAGTTAGGCATCGTGAGGAGTAGTCACCATCTGCTACCACCCACACACGGACACCCCTACACACTGAATCTGTTACACAGCTTGTTCTACACAAGCAGGCTTCATCTGTGAGTTCTGCGGACTAAAATTCATAAGCATGATTGCCCCAAGGAAAACTCTGGAAGAGAGTAATCCCTCCCCTCCCCCAAGGAATGTCGAAGGAATGCTAGAAGGTAGGTGAACCGCCTTAATTGCATACACTGAGTTCGCTTTACGAAATACATAAATCAAATATCACCGAGCGGGAACGTATAGCTGGAAGACTGTCTGCCATCCGAACACCGTTTAATTGCGCATTTCGGAAGACCAAAGGGTATGGCTTGAATCTACAGCGACTCCAAGATGTCACCGTTCACGCAAGAGGCCCGGCCCCTATTTCGTCTGAACTGCAATTCGCCAGAGGAATCACCCCATAGACGCCCAAAACTACCCCTCTTTGAGGCTAGGATAATGACTAACTTCTCTCTGTTTCGTTTAGCAGGAGGCGGAGAGGAGTCGCTTATTCTACACAGGAAACCGGATAGCGATTTCAGCTCAAAACGCGCTGTCGGCCTTGGGCCCGGGTGTGTCAAATCACAAAACCGGAGTCGGTGCGGTGGGACGCAATGTGCGGGTCACGTGAGAGCAGCTAGCATCAGACTGGTGAGTTGATTGGATGATTGTGGACGCCTGTGGTTGGCTGCTTGCGCGAAGACCTCATCCGCCGGAAGGCGATAATCACGTGATGCCTAGCGTGATGCGAGTGCCAGGGGCGTTCGTGTGCTCAAGGTTCCCCTGCCTAAAAACAAGAGGAACCAATGGCACCTCCTGGTGTACAGGCAACGGACACCCGGACCTTGTGACAGTTCGACCATCGTTTTCGATGATGTCCACCGTGTGCCCCACAGTTACAGCAGCAATGGGAGCAGGGACGGTGACTTACGCAGGGGTTTATAGTGCCGGTAGACTTGCGTAGCATCTACCTACACTCTCTCCTCCTCCCTCGCCCAAGCCCGGTGTCAAGACACAGTCAAGAAGACCGGAGACGAGAGAGGCCGCAGGTGGATGGCTCGGACGGATCCTCACCTTGGCGTTCCACCACACCCCCTGGTCCACACAACAAATAACCAGGATTTCAACCAACACAACATAGATTTGGAGGCTGGCACGGCCGAAGCCGCACCTGGGCGTGCCGCCAACGCCTGGCTCGGATCCCACACTGTGATGGGAGTGCCATAAAGGCCACATTAAAAAGGAGCCATTGCAGCCTCCGGTCAAGGAGGAGGTCCAAGTTACCCCGTCAGTTGGCAACCTTCCAAGCCACGGCTTTTAGCGCACCGTGATAGCTTCAAGCGCGTCAGATTGTTTATAGTGAGGAGAAAGTGCGCTGAGTCGTCGACCTCACTCTCCCTTCCCAATCCCACACCCCAGCCGCTGTCCGAGCCGGTCAGCAGACTGGAGTGGGGAATGAACGCGGTGGCTGTCATGGTCGAATGACCATAACTGCGCGCGCCACGGCACGACCTGGCCCCCCATGCACACAACACCAGGATTTCACACAACGGGGGTTGAACGGCGTGTCTCTCACTTACGTGAGAGTTCCGTGGAAGGTGCTGTTTCAGCCCGTTCCCGGCCCACCAGTCCGCCACTCCAAACAACACACACACAACGCGACGAACTGCGTAAACCGAGAGCGGGCGTCAATCAGCAACCTTCCTATCCACGACGCTTGACGTGTCGGGATAGTCTCGGACTCAAGTCACCCGTGCAGCCGAAGCCGCATGGGGACCCAGTCGAGATGCGGACTTCCCACTTGCGTGGGAGGTGGCAGTTGGGTGCATGAGGTGTGTAAGTGTTGATTTCTGGTGGGGTGATGGTGGTGGTGGAGGAGGTAGGGAGTGTGTGGATGTGTGGTGTAACCGGCGGTTGTCTACCGCAGGTCGTCGTGGATGCGCATGTGGCCGAATAGGCCCATGCGATGCCTGAAAGTGCGAGGGCAGTGTGGGCAGTTGAGACGAGCTTGGTGGGTATAGGTGGGTGCTCCAGGCACTGGGTCGCCAGTCTCTGTGCGATGGATTCGCAAGTGACCGACCAGGCCGATGCGTGAGGTGAATGTGCGTGGATAGTGTGGGCATGAGAAGCCGGCGGTGTCAGTGTCAGCTACAGAGGAGGCGGTGGTGGTGGTGGCGCGGACGGATGGAGAGAGTGTGGGGTGTGCACGGTGGATGTGTTGGATGTGGCGGGTGTGTAGGGAGTGCGGTCAAGGCCGCTCTCGTGGATGCGCATGTGGCCGAAAAGGCCCATGCGATGCCTGAAGGTGCGAGGGCAGTGTGGTAGTGGAGGCGAGTGCGGTGGGTGTAGGTTGGTGCTTCGCGCGCTGGTTCGCCAGTCTCTGTACGATGGATTCGCAAGTGACCGACCAGGCCGATGTGTGAGGTGAAGGCACGGTCGCAGTGAGGGCAGGTGTAGTCCTGATCCTCATCCCTGGAGTCGGGGGAGGTGGTGGTAGTGTCGGTTGTTGTGCGCGGGACAGTCGCCTGAGCGGCCGCCGTTGGAGCAGTGGGCGAGGAGGAGGAGGAGGAGGAGGAGGAGGAGGAGGAGGAAAAGGATGATGGAAGCGGTGGGTCAGAGGAATTGTCAGGGTTATTTGGCGGCGGAGAGGAGGAGGAAGAGGCAGGCGGGAGGACGATGGTTGGTGCCGTTCGAGAAGCGCAGTTAATCCGAAGATGTCCAACAAGTCCGATTCGAGCCCGGAATGTCCGTTGACATCGAGGACACGTTGGAAGCGGTTGTGCGGCGGCATTGCTTACTGGGAGAAGTTGTGATTTGCGGGCTTCACGTTTCGCTTTGGCGGCAGCGATGCGGTTGGCTTCGTATATCGCAGCGCCTGTCTTCACTGTCCTCCTCCAGGTCGGTCGATCGAGTGCGAGCTCCTCCCAGTTGGTCGGGTTGATTTGCAGGCATATCAGGGAGGACTTCAGGGTATCCTTGTAACGGCGAATCTGGCCACCTTGACGGCGAGAACCCGTCGCGACGTCTCCGTAGAAGAGTCGTTTGGGTAGTCGCTCGTCGTCCATGCGCACCAGGTTGCCGCTCCAGCGCAGCTGCATTTGTCTCAGTATGGCGTAGATGCTGAGGATTCCCGTCCGTTCCAGCACATCAGTGTCGGGGATTCGATCCTGCCACTTTAGCCTCAGGATGCGACGAGGACAACTGAGGTGGAAGTGGTTCAGACGACGCGCCTGCTTTGCGTACACCGTCCAAGTCTCCGCTCCATACAGTAGCGTCGGCAGGATGACGGCCTTGTACATCTTCAGCTTGGTGCTGAGCTGAAGACCGTGGCGATTCCAAACTGTGCTTTGAAGACGACCGAAGTCTTGACTGGCTTTCGAGATCCTGTTGGCGACTTCGTCGTCGATCTTGGTGTTGCGGGAGAGAGTACTGCCCAGGTACGGGAAGTTCTCCACCACTTGCAGTTGGGTTCCGTTCACGCTGATTTGCGGCGGCGCGTTGGGGGCTGTGGCTGAGTTGGGTGGCGGTTGGTGTATCACCACCGTCTTCTGCGTGTTAATCACCAGACCGAATTTCTCGCATGCGGCGGAGAACAGGTCCAGGCTGCGTTGCATCTCCTCTTCCGAGGTGGTGTTCAGGGCGCAGTCGTCGGCGAAGAGGAGTTCGTGAACGGTAGTTGTGGATACGCGCGATTGGAAGTACATTCGCCGTGGATTCAGGAGGTGACCGTCCGTCCTGTAGGCGATGCGGATCCCGGGGCGTTCGTCGCGGTAGGCGTCCATCAGCATGGCAGAGAACATAAGACTGAAGAGGGTAGGCGCCAGTACGCAGCCCTGCTTCACTCAGTTGGTCACTGCGAATGCCTCTGAGACAGCTCCGTTGTCCGTGACTCGCGCCATCATACCGTCGTGCAGCTGACGCACCATCTGAGTGAATCGCTCCGGACAGCCGAATTTCTGCATGATCTTCCACAGTCCTTCCCGATTCACCGTGTCGAAGGCTTTTGTCAGGTCCACAAAGGTAGAGTACAGGTGGGTCCGCATCTCATGACACTTCTCCTGAAGTTGACGGGCGGCGAAGATCATATCCGTGATCCCACGATGACGACGGAAGCCGCATTGGCTTTCCGGCAGAAGGCCCTGTTCCAGATGGTT